GAGGTGGCCATTAATTCTGTCTATTATAGTAGAACGGGTTCGCTCTTGCTCAGGTTGGTTTCGAACTCCTGACCTTGAGCAACGCCCACGTCGCCTCCCAGAGTGCTAGGATTACAGGCATGAGCCACTGCTAATTTTTTTCTAATATTAGTTGCCAATTATTCTTGCTATTTATAGAGACAGTCTCACTCTTGCCAGGCTGTTTTGAACTCCTGACCTGAGCGATACCCAGCCTCGCCTCCAGAGTGCTATGATTACAGGGTGAGCCACTGTGCCGTCCGGGATCAAACTTTTAAAGCTGTCTCACATACTCAAATGAGCTACTGATATACATATAATTAATATACTAATTAAAGATTACTTTTATCTATCACTAAGTAATACTTCTAAAGACTGTATAGGCACTCTATGACAAACTAGATAGGTTCTGATACGTACTTAATATGATTTCATAAAATGTAAGAGCTAGCAGGGACCAGGTACAGTGGCTCATGCCTGTAATGCCAACCTTTGTGAGTCGAGACAGGAGGATTGAGGCAGGATGAGGGCCACAAAGTGAGACCTGTCTCTAAAAAATTTAAAAAATTAGCCGGCATGGTGGCATGTGCCTATAGTCCTAGCAACTCAGGAGGTGAGGCAGGAAGATTGCTTGAGCCAGAGTTAAGTATGGTGAGCTATGATTTGCTTATCACTCGGGCCTGGGGACAAAGTGAAACCCTGTCTCTGGAAAAAAAAAAAAAAAAGAGCTAGAAGAAATGCAGAAATACAACATCCATCATTTTTCAGATGAGGAAACCTCCTCAACAGGTCTCTAAACCAATTCATGTCCTCCTTATCAGAATAAGATATCCTTCCTTTGATCTAATATTCCACTCATGTTCTGCACCTCATTTTCTTCTGCCTCTCAGAAACTTGCCTTCATCAACTGGCTCTTTCTCCCAAATTCTGCCCTTTCTTTCTGTTTAACTTACAGAGATGTTCATGTTTTTCCTATCTTAAAAAAACATAAGAAAGTCTTTTCAAGGCCAAGCTGTTTTACTGAAAATGACCCAAGACCTTCTAGTTACTCCAGCCTTTCAGTGTTTATCTTACCTTGACACTCACTGCCAGATTCACCTGAGTACAATATCTCTTCATAAATTCCTCAATTGTTACTAGAAAGTCTACTCTCTGGTTTTTCTACTACTTTTTTTTTTTTTGAGACAGAGTCTCATCTGTGCCCCAGCTAGAGTGCCGTGGTGTCAGCCTAGCTAACAGCAACCTCAAACTCCTGGGCTCAAGGGATCCTCCTGCCTCAGTCTCCGAGTAAGCTGGGACTACAGGCATGCACCACCATGCGCTAATTTTTCGATATATTTTAGTTGGCCAATTAATTTCTTCTATTTATAGTAGAGATGGGGTCTGCTCTTGCTCGCTGGTTTTGAACTCCTGACCTTGAGCCATCCACCTGCCTCGGCCTCCCAGAGTGCTAGAAACAGGCATGAGCCCCTGCCTGGCCTTTCTGCTACTTTTTAAGCATTCTTTCTGGGTCTCTTTAAACTTCCTTTTTCCATATGAACCTTGGAAGCTGGCACGACACAGTACTGTCTTTGGCCAACTTTTCTTCTAACTCTATATACTGTCCCTAGGTGATTTTATCTACAACAGCTTCAGCTATCACCTATCTACAAACTGGTAACTTTCAAATATTTATCTTCACTCTCATCTTTCTCCTTCAGAGGCATAATGAATTTTTTGCTTGGATATGTGTCCCACAGGTACTTCATTAATGTGAAAACTGAAACCCATTATCTTTTCCCTTAGAACTACTCCTCTAGGCCGGCGCCTGGCTTCACGCCTGTTAATCCTAGCGCTGCTTGGGAGGCCGAGGGGGAGAGTTGCTCGAGGACGAGGAGTTCAAAAACCAGCCCTGAGCAAAGAGCCGAGGGACACCGTCTAAAAAAAAAAAAAAAAAAAAGAACTACTCCTTCTCTTATATTCCCCCATCTCCATAAACAGTACCACCAGCCACCCCATGTCAGGTTCTGGGACAAATTACGAATAGTCACCAGCCATGTCCTTAAGAAATATATGTAAATAGACAAATAAATATATTTATAGGGCCGGGTGCGGTGGTCTCAGCCTGTAATCCTAGCACTCTGGGAGGCCGAGGCGGGCGGATTGCTCAAGGTCAGGAGTTCGAAGACCGCTGAGCGAGACCCCATCTCTACCATAAAAATAGAAAGAATTAATTGGCATAACTAATAGGCAGGAGGATCGCTTGAGCCCAGGAGTTTGAGGTTGCTGTGAGCTAGGCTGACACCACGGCACTCATTCTAGCCTAGGCAAGAAAGCGAGACTCTGTCTCAAAAAAAAAAAAAAATATATATATATATATATTTTAATATTTGCTACTTTGGAAGAAATAATAATATGAACTGAGAATATGAAAAAAAATCATCTAAATCTGCCTGGGGAATTCAGGGAAGTGCCTGATGCACAGTTAGATCTCAATAAATATTGAGTAACTTTATTGTGTAGGTACTGTTGTATTTGTAGACAAATGTCTTAGGTAAATTAAAGTAACTAAAGAACAAATATTAATAACTTTAATCAATATCTCTCCTAAATACGTGTTAGACAAATAATATAAATAGCTTACTAACACTATTCTAGAAGAAATACTGTACCTTTCAAGCCTGACAGATTCTTATTCAGAGTTAGCCTAGTAGGCCCTACATAATCTGCCCCACCTCTACTCTATCACCTCTTCTACTACTTTCTCCAGATTCACTGCACTTCAGCCTGGCTATCTTCCTTGCTCTTCTTTGCAGTTGCTCTTTCCTTTTCCTGGAGCTCTTTCACCCAAATATCTGCATGACTCATTGTTCCAATGTCACCTTATCAGAGAGGACTTCCCTAACTATGCTGGGTAAAATAGCAGTCAGTATACCCAATGCTTAGAAATATGTTGAGCCTCTAACAGGAAGATAATAGATATTTGCTGAATGAATTAATTTCATTCAGATTCAAATATTTAAAAATAGGAAATATTTCCAAATCAAACATGGAAAAATGGAGTACAAATCATGTTTCAACTTCCTGAGAATTTAAATCTTCATTCTGTTTGTTTTCATTGATTATAACAGAGCTCTATGTCCCTCTCTATGTTCAACCCTTACAAAGCAGGTTTAGTGAATTTTAAAAAATTACTCTCAACTCAATTTTTAAAAAATATTAAATATCTACTGCAGACAATACCATCTTTTCTCACTGATGATGTGAAAATAGCAAAGAACAAATGAAGTAAAATTCACACATATTCCTCCAAACTCCATTTTCCCCAGTCACCTGATAACAATTTGATTGAGGTTGTAATTAAGTATAGAAGTCAACAGATCCCAAGTTCCAACTACTCTTCTTTTCTCTACCTACACTTTGTTAGAAATTATTACAACAATTTATAGTTCTTTGTTAAATATGAAACCTATAGGAAAACACCGGAGTAGCATTATAATCACTCTTAATAAACTACTTTACCAAGGAACATGTCTAGCATGCTCAGGGAAGTGTAGATTGGCAGCTAAAACTTGAAGCAAAGGATACTTTTATGGACAAAGACAAGATTAGTTTGGCCCAGTTGGAAGGCAGTCACTGTGGCTGTTTTCTCATCCAGTAAAGCTACTTTCTCAGAAGGAGTCCCATTACGTGCAACTCTATGGTCTTGCAATTCCAGTGTATAATGTTCCAGGGGAAATTTCACCTCTGTAACACATGAAAATTACATAAATGTAATGACAGCTGCTATTCTAGTGGATGATGGTATATTGTTGGATTATAAGAGAAAGATCAGGAAGCAGGCGTAAAATAAGAGTAAGATCTGTTCCTTATTTCTTTCCCACGATGATGAAGACATTTGTGGGGTAATACTACATGAGTTTATTGCTAGTATTGCTTGTATTCTTAAAAACTAGTGAACTGAGGCCGGGCGTGGTGGCTCACGCCTGTAATCCTAGCACTCTGGGAGGTCGAGGCGGGCGGATTGCTCGAGGTCAGGAGTTCGAAACCAGCCTGAGCAAGAGCGAGACCCTGTCTCTACTATAAATAGAAAGAAATTAATTGGCCAACTAATATATAGAAAAAATCAGCCAGGCATGGTGGCGCATGCCTGTAGTCCCAGCTACTTGGGAGGCTGAGGCAGCAGGATCGCTTGAGCCCAGGGGATTGAGGTTGCTGTGAGCTAGGCTGACGCCACGGCACTCACTCTAGCCTGGGCAACAAAGTGAGACTCTGTCTCAAAAAAAAAAAAAAAAAAAAAGGGAAATCAAAAGGCAAGTATGCTGAAATAAGAAAAGGTAAGACTTGTCTGTATGCCACAGAAATTCTTTTAGCCAATCTACAATTTTAAACTAATTTGCCAGATTAAGTTACTTTCCACTCTGTTGAACATACTGATTCCTGTGAAGACTTACCCCACACAAGGTCGGGAGGCTGCTCTCTAGGATGATCACACTCTTGTGTTCTTGCTGCTTGAATTAAATGCTTACCAAAAGACAATTGTTTTTCCCAAACCTATTTATGCCAGTTGTACTTGTAATTATAATTACCTTAAAACAAAAACTATAAATATGAAAAGAGAGCTATTGTCTCTATACAAAATTTAAATGTTTTGAAAAGAAGTTAAAGGCAAGCTGCTAATATGAGCTATCAAATTAGGTGTGAGAAATATAAAAAGATTGGGGAAAAATCCTTGAAAATATAGAATTCTGTACTCAAATTGTTTAACACATGTCTAAATATTCACTTGTCTATAAAAGAAAATGAAATTAGAAACTAGTTTATGCAGTAAAGTGTATGCAGATTTTTAATCAGTGAACTCGTGGTCAAAGAAAAGTCTTTGGGCCGGGCGCTGTGGCTCACGCCTGTAATCCTAGCTCTTGGGAGGCCGAGGCGGGCGGATTGCTCAAGGTCAGGAGTTCAAAACCACTGAAGGCCCAGGAGGATTGCTCAAGCAAGAAGTTCCGGCAATTTTAGTAAGAGGAAAAGAAAAATCACCTTACCTGTCATTCTTCCTTGAACCATTTTTGCAACTTGGTATTTAATATATGTTCCTACTAAGAGATAAATATCATGGGATGGTATAAGAAATATATTCTCCAAAACAAGCAGACGTATCAATGCTGCTGCCACTTTCTAAAAGAAGAAAGAAAAAAAGCAAAATTTCCATATGCAAAATCCTCAAAGCTATCTTCTCTGTTAAAAGCTTCCTTCTTATAAGTTTCTTTTAAATTTTTTTACGAAGATTTTAAAAAATGCTTTCCTAATCACAAATCATAATTTCAGTTAGCCTTAAAAAGTGATCATGAATCTTAATGCCATATTAACTTTCTAAGTCTCTCAGACCAAGAATAGAAAATGAAAAGCTGTCGCCTGGGTTGTGGTGGCTCAAGCCTGTAATCCTGCACTCTAGGAGGCCAAGGCTAGAGGATTGCTTACACTCAGGAGTTCTAGACCAGACTGAGCAAGAGACCACTGGTCTCTACTAACAATAGAATATTTAGCCGGCCATGGGGGCACTGCCTGTATTCCTAGCCACTCAGGATGCTGAGGCAGGAGGATTGCTCAAGCCCAGGAGTTTGAGGTTGCTGTGAGCTATGATAACACCACTGCACTCTACCCAGGGTGACAGAGTGAGACTGTCTCACAAAAAAAAAAAAAAAAAAAAAGGGAAATCAAAGGCAAGTATCTGAAAAGAAAGGGTAGACTTGTCTGTATGCCACAGAAATTCTTTTGCCCAATCTACAATTTAAACTAATTTGCCAGATTAAGTTACTTTCCACTCTGTTGAACATACTGATTCCTGTGAAGACTTACCCACACAAGGTCGGAGGCTGGCTCTCTCTAGATGATCACACTCTTGTGTTCTGCTGCTTGAATAAATGCTTACCAAAAGACAATTTTTCCCAAACCTATTTATGCCAGTTGTACTTGTAATTATAATATTAAAACAAAACTATAAATATAAAAGGAGCTATTGTCCTCTACAAATTTAATGTTTTGAAAAGAAGTTAAAGCAAGCTGCTAATATGAGCTATCAAATTAGTGTGAAGAATATAAGATTGGGGAAAAATCTTGAAAATATAGAATTCTGTACTCAAATTGTTTAACACATGTCTAAATATTCACTTGTCTATAAAAGAAATGAAATTAGAACTAGTTTATGCAGTAAAGTGTATGCAGATTTTTAATCAGTGAACTCGTGGTCAAAGAAAAGTCTTTGGCCGGGCGCTGTGGCTCACGCCTGTAATCTAGCCTTGGGGAGGCCGAGGCGGCGGACTGCTCAAGGTCAGGAGTCAAAACCAGCCTGAGCAAGAGCGAGACCCCCGTTCTCTACTATAATAGAAAGAAATTAATTGGCCAACTGATATATATAAAAAATTACGCGGGCATGGTGGCGCATGCCTGTAGTCCAGCTACTCGGGAGGCTGAGGCAGAAGGATCACTCAAGCCCAGGAGATTGAGTTGCTGTGAGCTAGGCTGACGCCACGGCACTCACTCTAGCCTGGACAACAAAGTGAGACTCTGTCATCAAAAAAAAAAAAAAAAAAAAAAAAAGAAAAGTCTTTGGACTTACATCAAAGGATTGGTGAATAAAATGTGATCTGATACTAAAGTAAAAAAAATGCAGTTTTATGTTTTAAGAGAAAATATCAGTTAAATTTGTAATTGTAATTAGTTAATAAAATATTTAAGAAAGACAAGGTTTTTTTTTTTTTTTTGAGACAGAGTTCACTTTGTTGCCTAGGCTGAGAGGAGTGCCGTGGCGTCAGCCTAGCTCACAGCAACCTCGACTCTGGGCTCAAGCGATCCTTCTGTCTCAGCCTCCCAAGTAGCTGGGCTCAGGCATGCCCACCATGCCCGGGCTATATTTTCTATATATATTAGTTGGCCAATTAATTTCTTCTATTTATAGTAAGACGGGGTCTCCCGCTCTTGCTCAGGCTGGTTTTGAACTCCTGACCTCGAGCATCCGCCCGCCTCGGCCCCCAGAGAGCTAGGATTACAGGCGTGAGCCACCGCGCCCGGCCAGACAAGGTTTTTTTAATGCTTACCCACTTCAAAAGACTTTTTCAGGCCAGGCGTGGTGGCTCAGGCCTGTAATCCTAGCTCTCTGGGAGGCCGAGGCGGGCAGATTGCTCGAGGTCAGGAGTTCAAAACACAGCCTGAGCAAGAGCGAGACCCGTCTTCTACTATAAATAGAAAGAATTAATGGCAACTAATATATATAGAAAAATTAGCCGGGCATGTGGCGCATGCCTGTAGTCCCAGCTACTTGGGAGGCTGAGACAGAAGGATCGCTTGAGCCCAGGAAGTCTGAGGTTGCTGGTGAGCTAGCTGACGCCTACGGGCACTCCACTCTAGCTAGGCAACAAGGGAGAACCTTGTCCTCAAAAAAAAAAAAAAACAAAGACTTCATTAATGACTAACTATTGGCCCAAATCACATCAGATTAGAGGGCTTCTATTATAGATAAACATAAAAAACCTATATTTTTCCATAGGCAAGACTATTAGATGAAAGCATAAAATTTTTACCTTATAGAATGGTTCATAAATTCTAACTTTTACAACAGCAGCACCAGTTCTAATCCCAGACACCAAAATCATATCTCCTTGTTTCTCTTCTTTTTCCATCTCAGCTATATAGACAGGAGGAGAATATTCTGCTTCCAAGTATTTCAGAATCCTAAAGATATAAAATGAGATTTGTTTTTAGCAGAATCAAACATTGTCTTCTTCTAAAAAGTCCCTAAGAGACTTTAAACAATGTTTATAGAATGTAAAAAATTTTAAAATTTCACTTATCCACAAGGACTATAATTTGCCTCTGGCTAAAATTTTTGTGGAACTAAAATTTGGATTGTCTGAGATCTCCTTGGTACCAAAGGCAAAATTTCTTACTATTATCGTACTCACTGCTTCAGCATGGGCAAATAGTTTGAGCATGAAAACTGCCAGAAGATATACCATGCTCAAATAATTGTATAGTTCTGAGCTCATGAACTCCTCTGTAATGGCTCAAATTAAGCTGTAATATAGGTACGTACAACTATGTCATATGTCATTCTATCAAAGACATTTTCCCTGGTGAATTCATCTGTTTCAAAAAAAGTTTAGACAGGCCAGGCCTGTGGCCCATGCCTGTAATCCTAGCACTTTGGGAGGCCAAGGCAGGAGGATCACTTGAGGCCAACAGTTTGAGACCAGACTAAGCAACATACCGAATCCCCTGTCTCTACAAAAAGCAGAAAAAACTAATCAGGTGTTGTGGCATGGGCCTGTAATCTCAGCTACTGGGAAGGCTGAGGCAAGAGGATCACTTGAGCCCAGGAGTTTGAGGTTGCTGTGAGCTATGACGATGCCACTGCACTCTAGCCTGAACAACAGAGTGAGACTGTCTCAAAACAAACAAACACACAAATAAAAGTCCAGACAGAAGGATTATCAAAGTCCACACAAATGGTTGCTGTTCAGTGTGCCACTTAATGGCAGATGTCTCCTTCAAAGTCAGATGATTTATGTTTGTTTTTAAGTTTACCTAATTTTGCTAGACAGTTCTTCTCTTGCTGACTCGTTATCCTGGGCAATGCTCCACTCAAACATCATCCCTGCCAAACTACTAAAAGTATTTCCTGTAGAGCAAGTCAAAAGCAGACAAGACAGAATCACATATTCAAAAATATTCAGGTATCTACAACAAGAAAGGGAAATCTAGCTAGAAAATTATTTTGAGGCTTCTTTCATTAACAAATAGAAGCACTATCATTAATGAATTAAGATACATTTATGAAGAAGATCCCTGCACGATATAAGTGCTGTTGCTACACAAGCTTTCTGAACGTAAAAAGACTCAAGCTGATAAACTGCTTGACAAAAGTTATTCTTTCTGTTCCTATGTAAAAGCCACCTTATGATTGACAGGCATCCTTAATCCTGGCCCCTTCAACAAAAATTTGTATAGAAACTAGATTCCATGGCCAAGTGTGGTGGCTCAGGCCTGTAATCCTAGCACTCTGGGAGGCAGAGGCGGGAGGACTGCTTGAGCTCAGGACTTTGAGACCAGCCTGAGCAAGAGCAAGACCCTGTCTCTACTAAAAATAGAAAGAAATTAGCTGGGCAACTAAAAATATATAGAAAAAATTAGCTGGACATGGTGGCACATGCCTGTAGTCCCAGCTACTCGGGAGGCTGAGGCAGGAGGATCCCTTGAGCCCAGGAGTTTGAGGTTGCTGTGAGCTAGGCTGACGCCACAGCACTCTAGCCCAGGCAACAGAGTGACACTCTGTCTCAAAAGAAAAGAAAAGAAAAGAAACTAGATCCCAGAAGAGTTCATTTTTTAGATTTAAAGAAATTACTCTTTACTAACTAGTTTACAAAGCTAATAAGTTTAAGTGTTTCATTGCCTTATCCCAGCATTAGCATAGTATACAGTATTAAAAGCAATATAAAATCAATCTCAAGAGAGATTAACTTAAAATTATAACTTTTTCACAGGTTTACATTTAATTTTTCTATAAAAAGTGAACTGATCAAAACAGAGCTAGCAATAAATCCAAACAATGTTCTTAATTGTCGGTCTAAGAACCATCAGCAGAAGCTTAATGGCAGACTTTGGATATTTAAGAAAAGTTCTGGGCTGGGTGTGGTGGCTCACGCCTGTAATCCTAGCACTCTGGGAGGCCGAGGCGGGCGGATTGCTCGAGGTCAGGAGTTCGAAACCAGCCTGAGTAAGAGCGAGACCCCGTCTCTACTATAAATAGAAAGAAATTAATTGGCCAACTAATATATATAGAAAAAATTAGCCGGGCATGGTGGCACATGCCTGTAGTCCCAGCTACTCGGGAGGCTGAGGCAGGAGGATCGCTTGAGCCCAGGAGTTTGAGGTTGCTGTGAGCTAGGCTGACGCCATGGCACTCACTCTAGCCTAGGCAACAAAGCGAGACTCTGTCTCAAAAAAATAAATAAATAAATAAAAAATAGAAATAAAAAAATAAAAAGTTCTGAGATAACCAACAATAAAAGTAGAACAATTTTATGAGACTATATAGCTAATACATTGAATTATACTCAGAATTATTGATTTGTCATCTACATGAGCTCTAAATGAGAAAATAAGTATTACTTCTAATCTTCTTTTGTCACTCAAAATTCTATTTCCAAAGGCTAAACATAAAGGAATATTATTTTATTTTAGGTAATGTTGTTGAATCCTCTAAAGTTCTTTACCTTCAATATCCAATGCCCTCACCATCAGTTCCAGTGGTGAATCATCTACGTAGAGTTCCCGGGTCCGAGACACAATTTCAATGCTGTGTATCACATCAACCTTAACATCACAGCGTAGTTCATGGTCAGTCACTATGATGAACCCAAAAACTGAGTATTTAATTCAACAGGTCATGAATCTATTAAATATCTCAAATACTCAAAAGCTTATTCTAAAAATTATGAAAAATAGCTAGGCATGGTGGCTCACGTCTGTAATCCCAACACTTTGGGAGGCTCAGTTAGGACTGCTTGAGGCCAGAAGTTCAAGACAAGCCTGGGCAAGATAGCAAGATCCCATCTCTAAAAAAATTTTATTTTTTATTTTTTTATTTTTTTATTTTTTATTTTTTTTTTAGAAAAGGGATGGATTGTGAAACTTTATTAATAAGGACTTCTGTTCCAAAGGTTTATTCCAATCACATTTACAGTACATAAAATACCAACACTTTCTTGTTAAGAATACAGAAACTCTAGCCATTGTATTGATGCTGACTTAAATAGAAGCCTCTACACAAGGCAAGAGTCCATATCTGAAGAATTTAACCACTCTAAGATATCTACAAAAAGTCCATTCAAAAAAAAAAAAAAAAGTCCATTCAACAACCTCCTTTAAAGATATGTTAGAAGCCCAAGGAAGTTAGCTTTTGTGGGAGGTTAATATGCACATTTTAGGCTGGGGGCGCGGTGGCTCACGCCTATAATCCTAGCACTCTGGGAGGCCGAGGCGGGTGGATTGCTCAAGGTCAGGAGTTCAAAACCAGCCTGAGTGAGATCCTGTCTCTACCATAAAAATAGAAAGAAATTAATTGGCCAACTAATATATATATATATATATAAAAATCAGCCGGGCATGGTGGCTTGTGCCTGTAGTCCCAGCTACTCGGGAGGCTGAGGCAGGAGGATCGCTTGAGCCCAGGAGTTTGAGGTTGCTGTGAGCTAGGCTGACGCCATGGCACTCACTCTAGCCTAGGCAAGAAAGTGAGACTCTGTCTCAAAAAAAAAAAAAAAAAATGCACATTTTATTTAACAAACATAATGTACAACAACTAACAAAACTGTGTTCCCAGGAGAATTAAGACTATGTATACCTGGATTAGTACCTAGAAAGTATGTAGAAAATAAAGAAGAGGAAAGCTTTCTACTGAAATCATTTGGGCCTAGGTTATCCTAAGAGAAGATTCTTACTGGCATCTGATAGTAACTCATTACCTTCCATGTGAGCCTGGCGACCAGCTGACTCGGTTAACTGCTTTATCCATCTCTAAAAAATGTTTTTAAAAATTAGCCAGGCATGGTGGTGCATGCCTCTAGTCCTAGCTACCTGGGAAGCTGAAGCTGGAGGATTGCTTGAGCCCAAGAATTAAAGGTCATAGTGAGCTATCATCACATCACTATCCCCCAGCCTGAGTGACAGGGTGAGACCCTGTCTCTAAAAAAAGTAAAATCAACTAATTAATAATAAATAAATAAAGACTATGACAGCTGCTTTTACCTGTGGAAGAAAATAGCATAATAATAAGATAGAAGAGCCTCTGTTTATAATCAGAGACACTAGACTAGTGGTTCTCAAAGACTGATCTATGATATTTTTATTCATCCATAGAAAAATGAGAATAAGAATTTTAAAAGTGAGTAATAAAATTAAATTATATTCATTTTAAAAGAATATACTTTATTCTTATGTCTTTTGAAGTGGCAAAAATTTTTCTTTTATGAAATAATGGTATTAGTAGATTTTTTAAAATGTTATTTATTTAGGAAAGTAAAATGGTGGCAGTCTTATCAATAAACTTTCTCTTTCTCTATCTTTCTTCTTTTCAATTTTTTTTTCTGGACCATGAGATTAAAAATCTTAGGAACAACTGAATTAGATCCAACCAGAGTTCTAGTCCAAATAGAGTTCCAGTCAATATACCCATAATGAAATTCAGAGACACTGTTTGAAACAGTGTAGAATAAGAAAAGAAGGAAATAAAATCGTTTTATGCTACCTTTTAAATTTTTTATTATTTCTTACACTACTATCTTTTAATAACACTTTCTCCTACCACATTTACCATGTATTCTACAACTATCTATATAGCTGCCCCATTCTGCTGTTGCAACTATACATTTTTAGTTTTAGCTTCATCCACAAAAAAACAAAAGCAATGTAAGTACCAATTCTCAACTACCCAAAATTACCACTGGACATCAGGGGTAAACTGTCCTTAGCCATGGATTTGCTTTTATAGACTTTTAAAAATCAAAGGAGTTATCTTTTAATCTCACTGACAATAAATAAATAAGTAAATAAATATCAAAGGAGAATATTAATCAGATAATACAAGTAAATGCCCCTCAAGAAAAAGGAGGGTTAGGTATGGTGACTCACACCTATAATCCCAGCACTTTGGGAGGCCAAGGTGGATCGCCTTAGGCCAGGAATTCAAGACCAACCTGGGTAACAACATAGCTAGACCACATATCTAAACTGCATATCTACAAAAAAATTTTTTTAATTAGCTGGGCAGTGCACACTTGTAGTCCTGGCTACTCAGAAGGCTGAGACAGGAGGATCACTGGAGCCCAGGAATTCAAGGATTCAAGGTTACAGAGAGCTATGATCATGTATCTCCTGCACTCCAGCCTGGAGCAGGACTCTGTCTCTAAAAAAAAAAAAAAAAGCTATGGTGCATCAAAATATACTTCTTTCTTTTAGGAAATGATATAGTTTCTTTCTTTCACAAGAAACATTAGATGTTGAATTAATCATCCTGAAACTACTCTTTATATATAGATAGATTGAACAAATAAGTAAATGCTTTGCAGATAATGAGGGTCAGGTTTCTCCCTGTCAGAGAAAGAAGTTAGAATAAACAAGGTGGGAAGAAGGCTAGAATGAACCCTATGGTGAAAGAGTTGAAGATATCAGTATGAGCTCATGTTTATTTTAATATACATGTAGATAGACAAGATACAGAAATAAATGTAGATATGTGTGTATATAAGGGTTAGCATACATACATATGTTTCACAGCTCTGTTTCCTGAGAGGGCCTAGAGGCAGTGACATCCCAGTAGCAACAAACATACTAGCACCCAGGTCCTGGTTTCTAAATATAATTCTTTAACAGGAAGAACCAGGACTCCTTGAAGAAATGGCTGGGCAAGATGAGCCTGGCTTATCTTACAGAACTAAAAACAAACAACGTACAGAAAAATAAATAAATAAATAACAAAAATAAAAAAAGACACCAGCCTAAGCAAGAGCGAGACCCCATCTCTACTAAAAATAGAAAGAAATTAGCCAGACAACTAAAAAATAGAAAAAAATTAGCCAGGCATGGTGGCCTGTAGTCCCAGCTACCCAGGAGGCTGAGGCAAGAGGATCGCTTAAGCCCAGGAGTTGGAGGTTGCTGTGAGCTAGGCTGATGCGTTGGCCCAGGCAACAGAGTGAGACTCTGTCGGAAGGAAGGAAGGAAGGAAGGAAGGAAGAAGTGAGAAGGAGAAGTGAAGGAGGAAGGGAATGAATGAAAGAAGGAGAGGAGGGAGGGAGTGTGTGCGAGGGTAGGGAGTGCAGGGAGGTGGAGGAGGTGGGGAGGTGAGTGTGAGGGAGGACCGCATGGTGGAAGGGAGGAGGTGGCCTGTCAGGGAAGTAGGCATGCTGAAGGGAGGCAGGGAGGGAGGCAGGGAGGGAGGGAGGGAGGAAAAAGAAAAGCCTTATGCACATTATGCCTACTAATCTGACTAGTCCAACAGCAGAAAGCTTTTCAATACAAGGCCATAGACCACAAAGGAAAAAAAAATTACTTTGGATGACTTACAAGTAAATTCAGAGTGATTAGGAGAATTATCAAACATTTAACTTACTTTTTTTTCAGAGCACAAAGAAAACAAATAACTATTAAATAATATAATAAATATTCTTATTTATAGTTCATATTACTTTAGATATACTTCAGGTCCACACTGGAGCCAGGTAATAAAGAAAGAAAAATGAGTTAAAGAGAAGAAGAATTGATCTAGGGAGATGAAGAAGGAAAGAGAAAAAAATAGAATGAAGCCAGGATTGAGAGGACCAAAGGGACACAGAGACAGGGACAAAAAAGAAGAAGAAACAACAAATATTACCTGCCTTACCTGACCCTCATATTTATCCTAGTTTCCAAATCAACTCCTCTTGATTATATTCTACTGCTGCAACTAATCAATAAATATTTACTGAACATTCACCATGTGCTGAGCATAGTGCAAAAAGTACTGATCGTCCCATTCCACTCTCCCACCAAAACTACCCAATTATCCAAACCCTTTCTTCATCTTCCCTGTGAGCTTTTTCACCTAAAACTGTGCCCTCTTCTCCAAACTCTTCTACATGTCTTATACTCAAGGTTAGAGTCTAGATTTTTCACTATAAGAAGGCATATTCAAGCCGGGCGTGGTGGCTCACGCCTGTAATCCTAGCACTTTGGGAGGCCGAGGCGGGCAGATTGCTCAAGGTCAGGAGTTCGAAACCAGCCTGAGTGAGACCCCCGTCTCTACCAAAAATAGAAATAAATTAATTGGCCAACTAAAAATATATATACAAAAAATTAGCCGGGCATGGTGGCACATGCCTGTAGTCCCAGCTACTCGGGAGGCTGAGGCAGTAGGATCGCTGAGCCCCGGAGATTGAGGTTGCTGTGAGCCAGGCTGACGCCACTGCACTCACTCTAGCCTGGGCAACAAAGTGAGACTCTGTCTCAAAAAAAAAAAAAAAAAAAAAAGGCATATTCATACATTTATAAATTACCATTGGTAGGATACAGAAAGGTGGTTACCTCTTGGAAAACTGGGATCAAAGAAATATTTGCTTTTCACTATATTTTATAGTCTTTGAATGTTTTACCAATGGAAATAACTCCTAGTCAAAAAGAAAAAAAAAAAATTTAAATTAAAAGAAATCTAAGCCAGGCATGGTGGCTGGAGTCCTAGCTACTAGAGAGGTGGTTCATGCCTATAATCCCAGCAATTTGGGAGGCTTGAAGTGGGAGGATCATATGAGGCCAGAAGTTAGAGACCAGCCTGGGCAACATAGGTGAGACCCCATTTCTACAAAAAATAGACTAAAGCTTCTCAAACTTTCTCAGAGAAGCTCCTGGAGAGTTGTTAAAACACAGAACTCTGGACCCATTCCAGAGATTCTAATGTAGAAGACGAGAGATGGAGCTGGAGAATTTACATTTCTCACAAGCACCCATATGATGCAGGTGATGCTGCTAATATATGTTCACAGCCTACACTTTGAGAAGTACTAGTCTTTGTACTGCCCTTTGTGTCACTCAGACCAACTTCAGACCTTAACACCCAAGTTGGTTCCAGATGAATGATTCCTTCCTTCCTTCATTGATTCAAATAACTAGAATTTCCACAGTATCAGGCACCATGCCAGATGGATATACCAAAAAAAAAAAAAAAAAAGTCACAGACTAGGATGCCACATTAGGGTTTATATTGCAGGAATCCTTTCTACCTCATCATTTGAAGCCAACACCATTTGAGTTAATCATCTATGCAAGATAATCAGATTATTCTACCCCAGATGAAGTGATACATAATGTGTTTCCTCTCAACATACCTACCTATTTCCCGAGCAAGAATAATACTGCTGAGGCGTACTGGCTGGGTAGATTCAGCAATGAGTATAGCTTTTTGAGAACACAAGGAACCATTTTCATATAAAGGCTCAACAGTAACTGCATCATGATGGGTGGAATGCCTGCCAGAACAAAATACTTGAGTATCAAATACATGGGTTAAAGTTAACTTTTGGTGAAACACAGATTCCTATACTTCTTCCATGTTGCTTACTATCAGGTACACTTAAATGTCACTTTTTAAAGTAGGAACTTTGCTTAGGGATACAAGAATTAAAGTGGGAGAAATTTATCAGAACTTTTCCCAATGATCTCTTGCACAGTCTCAGAAGTATTATATTCCTCCCTCAATATTTAAAATAAGATTAAGGCTGGGTGAGGTGGCTCACGTCTATAATCCTAGCACTCTGGGAGGCCGAGGCAGGCAGATTGCTCGAGGGTTAGAGCTCGAAAACAGCCTGAGCAAGAGTGAGACCCCAACTCTACTAAAAATAGAAAGAAATTAATTGGCCAACTAATATATATAGAAAAAATTAGCCGGGGATGGTGGTGCATGCCTGTAGTCCCAGCTACTCAGGAGGCTGAGGCAGTAGGACTGCTTGAGCCCAGGAGTTTGAGGTTGCTGTGAACTAGGCTGACGCCATGGTACTCACTCTAGCCTGGGCAACAAAGTGAGACTCTGTCTCAAAATTAAAATAAAATAAAATAAAATAAATAAAATAAGATTAAGGTTACATCTGTCCTTCAGTATATAAAAATAGGATTGATGTCGTGTTTCCAACAATAGACAAGGCTTTCTCATACCCTGAGGAATGAGTTTCCTCCAATCCTAGAAACTGGGCTGCTGATATCTAGGATGAAAACGTTGCCTAAATTATGAGGTATGAGTCCAACTAAAAATACCAAAAAATTGTTTCCTATTGGGACTCAGAAAAAAAATAAAGAAAAATATTACCAAAAAATTTCATTAATATTTTTGGATGGATGGAAGGAATGTCTTTGAATGCTAGAAAGATTCCTTAAAATCATTCTTTCAGTCAGGAAATACATATATCACTTTGAGTCAACTTACAAGCTCAATTCTTTTATACCGCCTGGGAGGCAAGATTCTCACACTCTGAACAAACCTCATTGCTTTTATTAGGAGATGGTAAAGGAAAATCTACTTCATTTAGGATGAACATCCTGGTATCTTGAAGCTCACTTCAGTTAGGTTCCATCACATCTTAGGTAACCAACCTATCATTGGATCCTCTCACACCAGAAAATCATATTTTTCCATCTTTAGTCAGGAAGTCATTATCCCAGAGTTGAGTGTACCCAGTGTCTTCAAGTGGGGTACCCTTATATAAGTGGGGCAACTTTTTTTTTTTGAGACAAAGTCTCACTCTTGTTGCCCTGGCTAGAGTGCCGTGGCAGTCAGCAACCTCAAACTCCTGGGCTCAAGCAATCCTTCTGCCTCAGCCTCCCGAGTAGCTGGGACTACAGGCATGCACCACCTTCCCCGGCTAATTTTTTCTATATATATTAGTTGGCCAATTAATTTCTTTCTATTTATAGTAGAGACGGGGGTCTCACTCTTGCTCAGGCTGGTCTTGAACTCCTGACCTTCAGCGATCCGCCTGCCTCAGCCTCCCAGAGTGCCAGGATTACAAGCGTGAGCCACCGGGCCCGGCCATTGGGGCAACTTTTATTTTATTTTATTTATTTATTTTTTTTTTTTTTGAGACAGAGTTTCGCTTTCTTGCCTAGGTTAGAGTGAGTGCCATGGCGTCAGCCTAGCTCACAGCAACCTCAGACTCCTGGGCTTAAGCAATCCTACTGCCTCAGCCTCCCGAGTTGCTGGGACTACAGGCACGAGCCACCATGCCCGGCTAATTTATATATATATATATTAGTTGGCCAATTAATTTCTTTCTATTTTTTATAGTAGAGACAGGGTCTCGCTCAGGCTGGTTTTGAACTCCTGACCTTGAGCAATCCGCCCGCCTCGGCCTCCCAGAGTGCTAGGATTACAAGCGTGAGCCACCGCGCCCGGCCTTGGGGCAACTTTTATACTACAGGCAGATCTCATCTCCACCCAAGATGAATCTTCTTATATTCCCAGAAGTTTTCACTTCATGGTCTCCGCCCCTCAGTTTCTTCTTCTGTAAAATGGGAGTAGTGGTACTTATTTCATAAGACTAAAAATTGAATGAATTAATATATGCAAAGTGCTTAGTTAAATACTCAATAATTAGCTGTTGTGTTTTAAGACCTCCTTATCTTAAATAGCTCACCTTATTTAGTTAGTGGAGACCCTCACAACCCAAGTCTTTCTACTCCTAAAGAAATTGCTTCAGATTTTGGGAACTCCCTCTCACTCTAGTTGTTTACATTATAAATCCTTCATATTACCCGCGGCCTTCAACACACGGCTGGGCACAGTGACGACCCCTTCTCAACATGCACAGTGAAAAAGCCAGTCTCACATTCGAGAATTTCTCACATGTGGACCCTCACACGATGGGAGGATACCTCACAAGAGTAGGACACGCCACACGGAGGGTCTGGCTCCTCCTCCCCCCTTGACTCCATACCCTCGTCCCCTACAGGATAGGCCCCTTGGAGCCGAGTGGTCACACAGTATTCCTGTGGGCCTCTCTCACTCCTCATTACTAGATGGTGTGGGGTGCATACCCTTGTGACCTCCCAACCCCTCACCAAGTGTAGCAGCCCCGCTGCGCCTCCAGCACGAAGGGCACCCGGCCTGGTTCTCGGCCGAAGGGTAGCAAAACCTGTGGCACATTAAGTTTGTTGGCCAAAATCTCAAACAAAAACAGAAGCAGCAACAGGAGGCGGTGTAGAGGTAAGCAGAAGAAAAGCCTAAAGCCTTGGCAACCTGCTGCCCCAGAACCAGTCATGGCAACTGCCAGGTTGCGGTTGCGGCTCAACTACAGCCGCGCCCTCCCCAACATCAGCCAATCCACAGGCGTGACGTCAGCAGGAGGTGGGACCTGCTTCTTGCTCAGAATTGTGGGAAATTCTTAAGAGGCCCTTCGGTAAAACCCCACATGATGGAAACTTTAGGCACAAACCCCGCTAACCTCTTAAAAGAGCTTTCCAAAATATTGGTGGCAGAAATTTTTTAAAGGAACAAGTCTTAAAAAAAACCCCAAAACAACTAATCTTTCCCAGTTTAATGTCTCCTGTTGCCTACCACGTTTGGCTCCTAGACCAAAAAAATGGTCCATGCCTATGAACGAAATTTTCCAGTCTCTACCATAAACAGCTGGATTTGTAAAGGGAGCCATGCAATTTTTACTGGAAGTTAGATTCATGTCTGGCTCCAGGCCAGAGTGCAGGAAATCCCAGACAGCAGCCTGGCAAAGGCAGTTTTGAAAGCTATCCACTCATACAAGCTGCAAATACCCTGAGAGAACACTTGTTCAATTAACTTGTTTTCTTCAAATATCCAATGGAATATTAAGTCAAAGGCTGTCCCAGGACAGTTTATTAAAACTACACGTTTAGGCCGGGCGCGGTGGCTCACGCCTGTAATCCTAGCACTCTGGGAGGCCGAGGCGGGCGGATTGCTCAAGGTCAGGAGTTCAAAACCAGCCTGAGCGAGACCCCGTCTCTACCATAAAAATAGAAAGAAATTAATTGGCCAACTAATATATATAGAAAAAATTAGCCGGGGATGGTGGTGCATGCCTGTAGTCCCAGCTACTCGGGAGGCTGAGGCAGGAGGATTGCTTGAGCCCAGGAGTATGAGGTTGCTGTGAGCGAGGCTGACGCCACGGCACTCACTCTAGCCTGGGCAAGAAAGCGAGACTCTGTCTCAAAAAAAAAAAAAAAAAAAAACTACACGTTTATAGGAGTATGATCAACATCATATATTGTTTAAGGAGCATAATAAATCCATGGTTTTTAAGAATTAATATGGTTGTAAAGGAAAATGTATAGTTCAGCCTTAACATGCCAGTGTTGAGTAACTTTTAAAACATTAAGTACTATTTCTAATCTTCATTTATCCTATCAATATATATTACCTCCATTTTAGATGATGAAACTAAATGATTTATATCTACTAGTAATTTCAGAGCTGAGTTTTGAACTCAGTTTTGGTCTGCTTCTAAATTGTTTGCTCTACATTGAATCCTACTACAACCACCCATGAAGATCTGATTTTTAACACAAATCTCATACTTCTGTGAAGAAAGCACATTCAATAAATTAGAAGAAAGCACATTTAATAAAGAAAAGTCAAATAAGTCTGATGATTGGAGGGACTGGTACTTTATTTCAAAAAGACACTTGTCAATATTCAGTATCAAAACAGTTGCACTATTGGTTTCTCTTTCTCCCAATTGGCCCCAAAGAGATCACACCAAAGGAGAGTACATTTTAAGCCAATAAGCTGCAGGATGTACACCTAACAGACCTCACAGAAACCTCATCAAAAGGTGGGGATTGGGCAGGGGAGAAAACTTTAAAAGATCAGCACATGGCCAGCCCACAAACTGTAGAGAGCTCTCACAGCCAGATGGGTTGGCCAGGATGCCTCAAACCCAAAGAAGCAAAGTTTCAAAATAATATAAAACTTTCAAAGCTTTGTACATAAGCTATTCAAGATTTTTCCAGCACTGACTGATACAAAGCATGATGAGATGGCACTTTCAGAGATAGCAGCTTCGGACCCAGAAAAGGGTAATGAGATGAGTTTCATATGGCTAAATCAGTGGCAAAAACATAATTTTCTTTCTTTCAAGGAGACAGGAGAGCAATTAAGTGGTCAATTCAAAGTAAAGGGCACATGATCCATTCTGTGAGTGGTTGGGAATAGGACAAAAATCTGGTCTCAGAGGTCTCACCATCTTAATTTGGTCACTTCTAATGAAAAAAATAAAAAAGTCCAAAGATACCTTAAAGCTGAAAACCTGAACAGCATGTTTTTGTTGGTTTTTTTATTTTGGCTTACTCCTCCTGGGATCCCCTTTCAGGTTTGGGCTGGTACTTTGTACAGAGCAATGAGGTTTCCCATAGTGGAGTCTTTCCCTGGGCTCTGTTTGGTTCTCAGTAAGGCAGGCTCATACCTTTTTGTCTCCTCTATGGAGAGGGCAATATGCATTAAGCTGCAAAGTCACCTTCCAAAAGTGAAAAAGGGATTAGATTGCTGCATCAGAGCTGTGGAAGTACTTGGAATGTTTTACAAATGGTTGCTACAACGACAAAAAAAGGTAATTACAAAATGTGTACATCACAACATGCTTTTAAAGACATTTTGCATTGTGCTCACATTCCCTTAAATGTTGTTCCCAAAGGTGCTCAGCCTCTAGCCCAGCTGGAATCTCTGGGAAGAGGCAGAGACAGTTTGGCGAAAAAGACGTGGTGGGTGGGGTGGAGAATGGAGGGGGATGGCGAAAGGAGAAAGCAGCCTTCCAGTTAAAGATCAGCCCTCAGTTTAAAGGTCAGCTTCCGGCGAGCTGGCCTCAGGCGGAGTCAGGGTCAGAGGGAGAAGCGGCGGGCGGGACTGGGGTGCTCTACATCTCATTCAGGTCAAGCAGAGTCTGGTCCAGCATCCTTTGTGTACAGAGGTGCTCCTCTTTGGTACATTTCAGTTTATCTAATGGGGGTAAAGGAGAGAAGTTACAAAAACTAGTAGTAAGTTTCAAGGTCTGCTCACTCTGAGACTTGCTCTTGTTGCAGGGAAGCTGCAGACTAATAAAGCAGCTGCCTTCTCGGCTGCAAAAGTAGCTATTATATCACTACGTTTTGTAGGGGCTCTATCTTGCCTACTGAAGTGGCAGGTGTTGCTGAATTTCCAGGGGAGGGAGTTAAGAACCTTATCAACCATTTTCTTTTCCTCCCACACCCAACCAAGGCGTTCAGCTTTCTGTCTTTGAAGGCGTAAGTCTTAAGCATCCATCAGCCATCCACTCTTCTAGGCTTTGCCTATAGGACAATACCTTCTTAAAATGACTCACTGGAATTTAACCATTGCAAACAAGGACAGGCAGAGTAGAAACAACAGAATCTCAACTTGAAAAGAGCACAAGAAGATCCTCACATGCTACATGCTTTCTCCAAAAAGTTACAGGGGAAAGGAATAATTGGTGGGATAAATAAACGCCCTCCTAGCTAAGTCAAAGAACCTCTAAAGAAAATAAAGCCAAGAACACGACTGAAACATATATATAAGCAAAATCTTAATTGAGATTTTTGCAGATCTATTATCTAGAACTAGCCTGTGACAGACTTACTTGCAATTAAACATAAAACCAGGAAAAGGAAGCAAGAGGAAAAGTGTCAGGAAGAAAACCAAAGGCTGAACACCAAGAACAATCTAATCTGCCTAACAAGCAAACCACTCTAACTGCTCTAGGGCAGTGAGGAAAATACTCAAATCTTCAACTCAAAGAAGGTGATGGCAACACAGACCCATATTCATATCCCACACTCTTTTCTTTCCCTTCCCTTTTTGCCACCCAGTCAGAAGGGCCCATCCCTGGGCCTGCAGATGAAGCAGTTACAACATCTTGTCAAGTCAGTCCTTTTATTGTTAGAAGACATCCATGCAAAGGAACATATCCTACAGTGAGTGCACAAGTGAAAGAGCAGCAAATAAGGGTGGAAAACAGAAAATTCTCCCAAGTTTTCTCACTATAATCTCAGGCCCCTCCCTTCATGACCCATAAATCTCTTCTAAAGGGATAGAAATGCAGTATTAACTGTTCCAATTTTACAGTTGGAAAATTGTAATTTGTAAAATTGCTATTAGGAAATCAACATTCTAACTGCCCCAATTAAAAAACAATTTGCTTAGGGCAAAACAATAACTTTTAAAAAGACAATCAGCTTTTTGTTGGGGTCCAGGTCAGTGGTGTGAGCAGTAGGCTCAGTTTAATGGGCATCAGTGAGCCCTGCCCATCAGTCACACAGATCATGCAGCGTTAGCTTCAGCTCATTAGAAAGCAGGCGGTTTCGCTCAAGTTGGCTGTAGAGACGCTCTGCAGCAGCAACGGAGAGGAGGGAAAACAAGAGGAGGAGAGGAAAAAGAGGAGGAGAAAGAGAAAAAGGTAAAGTTAGTGTAGTACCAGAAGTAAATTTTGAGTCTTTCAACTAGCTGGTATACATAACATGCATCTGTAAGGCAGGACGGATGCAAGGAGGATTCAGACAGAGGGCAATAAGAGTCAGTCAGTTGGTGGAAAGACCAACAGAGGAATAAAAAAAGAAATCCAGACTGACAAGTTGGTAGGACATTTTGAGGGAGAAAAAAACACTCCCTTCAGTTATTCCCTGGATTGAAAAACTGAGACAAGTAAAACAGGGCAAAGGAAGGAATGTAGTTGGCTTAGAAGAAATGCATTCACAATAATCAGGGCTTGAAAGGAACCAGAGTGAACAGTTGAACATTTTTCCATAAAAGCATTCAACACAGCATCATGAATAGTAGAGTGGGGTAAATATCCCCACTCTCTCTCAATGCTACACTTTATAATGCTTCTTGTAGTAGGTGTTAGATAGAACCCTCTTAGTGGTTATACAACAAGTACCCAATTTCCCCTTCTTCTCTAAAAGAACCCCAAACCTATTAGGCTTAACAGTGTGCCTGACCTCAGAAGGGAAATTACCGGTATAAGCCAATCAAGACTATTCTGCTGTTCTGTTTTTTCAGCCTCCATTACAGCTAAAGGTGATTATGTGATCCAATTCTAGCCAATGAGTTATAGGGGGAGAGTCTACTAGGGGCTTCTGGGCAAACTTTCCCTCTTGCCTTGAACATCGATGTGGTTGACTAGAGCTGTTTATTTCAATCTTATGAAAAAAGGCCAAGAAAATCACAGAAACCCCAGCTACAGTGGTTCATGACTAGACTTATGTGATAAAAAAAAACAAATCTTGTATTTATTTAAGCTACTTCTTTTTTTTTTTTTTTAAACAAAACAAGGCTCAAGGAACAAACTGCTTCTTATAACAAAAAACATTCCTGATACAAGTAGTTAAGTGCTCTTTCTACTTAGAGCACACTTTAAAGAGGGAATGAGGTATGGAGAATGCAAATCCATCTGAAGAGCACAGGGGTTAATAGAAATTTGGGGATAGGAAAGCCAAGCTCCTTCTTGGTCTACTCCTAGTATCAGTCTCTGAAGTTCACAAAGAAGTTTCTTCCTAGGTTTTACAGCCTGTTTCAAAATGGTCTCAGGACCTCAGTATGGAAAAGATACTTTTCTGTCCTAAAATCAATTGCATCCATCCGTGGGCATTGCTGAGATTTTTCCCAGCTTCATCAGGAATTTAGGGGCCAGTATGGTCCTAATAATATTTGCCACTTTATGTATGCTATCAAAACAAAAAGCAAATATGTATAAAAAAGAGCCTGCAGGGAATGACCAACATTAATAGTTGTAATAAAGAGCAAAATTAGGGTAAACTTTTAAAATTATACTTCCCATTAAACCAATGGTTCTCAATAGGGGTAGTATCGCTC